AGGGGAAAGAAGAAGAGAGGAGAAGAAAGAGAGGAGGGAAGAGGCTCTTGCACAAAATGCAATTCTTTGCTAGTACTAAGAAATCTGTTTTCCCTCATGCCTAGGATAAGACTCTAGTTTATTTTACAGCATTGATTTCATAATTCAGTATTTTTATAGAGTCATTTATTATAATAGATGTAAGAAAACAGTCTTGATGAAATAGAACTGAATTTGGCTACAAAATAAGAGTCATCTCATAAAAGGAAACTAATAGTGACATGAACTCTATAGTGTCCATCTTTGGGGCCAATGTGGCATGTGGGTGATGCCACAAAGATCCACTCACTCCTTGCTGCTCATGGAAGACTGAATTCTTTCCCTGTGCTGTGTGCCTGTAACAGATGATATAAACAGCAATCATCAACAATTTTGTGCTTGGTTTATTGATTCAATCAACTTTCATATCTGACTGTATATCCTCATTTATAAGCTCAATTGATGAGATTCGACCCTACAAGACTTTATGAAGCACATACACATTTAAAGGGAAAGTTATAAAAAGAAATAGAAATTAGAAAGCTGCATATTTATTTCAGAAACCTAGAAATATAATATCAACGACTGAAATATTTTCCCATTCTTGTTTTAAATGTTTACCTGCAGTCATTTGGAGTTGACTGTGTATTAAAGTACCTCGCAGTAAATTGTATGCCTTGTAAAGTAAATTAAGTTTCTAAAGTTTATGGCAAAAGGTGAGACCTAATTTTTACCTTCCCATTATCCTTGACATACAAAACTATCCTGGACTTTAACTCTTTCTTACTTTCTGTACCCACTAATGCCCTATCCTTTAAACTGACAGTATGCAATCTTGTTTTGTTACAAATTTTCATCTAATTTTTATCACAGAAATAACTTCTTAATGTATGACTTTGGTCTTGGCATTCCACTAATTCCTTGTTGAAGAAAATATCAAATATATTAGCTCTCCAAACTCAAGAGATTCAAATAATATTAAATACAAACAAATAAACAGAAAAGCTCTAATTACTTTATGGATCATATTTATATTCCTGTTGTGCTTCAATACCACGTCCCATGAATGCATGTGAATACACACACACACACACACACACACACGCACACACGCTGTGTCCTTCTATATTCCTCTTCTATGTTTAGACAGTTTCTCACTTTACACATTTTTACTTTTTCCTTCATCTGTCTGGTAAAGGGATACATTGTGGCTAAATTCCCACAGGCAAGAAATAAACAATGTCCACCTGAGTTCCCAAAGACAGACAAAGTCATGATTCTGTCAAAGTTCACTATGGAGAGCAGATGAGTTTATTGAGCTTCCTAACACAGGAATTGGAGCATTCCTTCCCGACCAGCTACATGTGAAAAGCTTTACCATCGGAGTAAGAATCTTCTCATAACCACATACTTTATAGATGCTGTTCCAGTCTTCCCTGGCCTATGTACACCCAAATCCTTCAAGAGGAGGTCACATGCAATTAAGGCAAAGTTAAATAAAACAGGTGACAGAGAGAAACTGCAAACATTAGTGCGAATTGCATATCTTTTTCCAAGCTGGAATTCAAGAATGTTCATCATTCCCAAGGGCAACTGAGGTTATCTTTTGCGGGGACATCTGAGCATTCTGAAATGGTGAAAATTGATGCCAAGTAAATATGAAGACTTTTTGTTGACTCAGTTGGCTCCACATCATAATAGTGTTCTTCTGACTTCTTTTAGGAACATGGAATTCCGATCAACCTGGGCTATGCAGTGGCCCCACATCACTCAGGGGTCTACCCAGTCCATATTCAGCTGTATGCAGCTTGGAAGAAGGTCTGGGGTATTCAGGTCACCAGCACTGAAGAGTATCCACATCTGAAACCTGCACGGTACAGGAAGGGCTTCATTCACAATAGCATCATGGTGAGCACATACTGCTGTGTGTGAAGGCCCTTGATACCTGTGTGTAAGTGAAGGGATAAAGAGTTTGTCTAAGGATGCAACACAGAACTTCTTTTTCATGACTATCGGGAGTTTCTGCCATGCCATAGAGATGATTGTTCATTCAGTGCCATTTTATTTGAATACAGCCTTGCGTCCTAAGACGTAGACTGATTTTAGTGAATGCATGACAATCTGGAAATAATGAGGATGAGTTTTGGATAGATTATCCATTGACATTTTCAATTCGAAATTTAGTCTGGGGCTCTTATGCTTCTTCTAAGGAATTCCTCAGTACTATTTGTCTGAGCAGTTTTACAGACAGCTAAAGGTAGGCTGCTGCTCCGTGGATCAGGAAACAACTCTCCAATCAGTTCCCTGACAACAGTATAAAAGACAATGACATCTGAAAGCTAAATCCATCTGGCTAGTGTTTTTTGACTTTCAGGCATTCAGAGCATCTTAGGACATTGTTTATTTTCATTCTTTTTTCTTGCATATTTCAAGGAATGGCAGCATATAATTTCTTTCCAAATACATTAGCTAAAAAATTACAAATCCAATTTAAGAAGGATGTATGCATTATGAGAAATGGGAGCAAAACTATATGAATTTTAGCTTGGAATTCAGCATCATTCATTGAAACAGAAAAGTGGCACCGTTTCTTTGGTTGTAAAATAGACAGTTTTAAAATTCTCACCACCAGTTTCAGGTATCTTTGAGCATGCTTCCATCATTAGTTGTCAAGATTCTACCTTGACAAGGAAGTGTTTCAAACTGCCTTCTTTCTGTTCAATATTTACACTAACACAGTCCATTACTCACTTCGCTACTAAAACTATCTATCCATCAATCTGTCTGTTTCTATATCTAATTTTTATCTTTAAAAGAAGACAGAAATATATAGCTACCTGGATTTGCTCTGCAGTTGTTTCATTATTTAATTATCTAATTATTATCATGTACCACCAGTGGACCAAAGAGCGTAGATTGTTACTGGAAATCATTGATAATGCCAACAGTATAATTGATGTCTAAGAAATCAGGAGAAATAAAAAAAATTATTTACATAAATTTAAAAGCAGAGAAAGTACTAAGATTTCTTTTGTTTCCTGAAATCATTCAACATATCATAAAGGAAATATTGCTTTCAGCCAAGACTACATGTTTTTATTTACCTTGAATTTAGTCATGAAAATTAACTGAAGGATAAATGCCATCATGGCTTTCTTGGATAACTGAATGCATTGCCCAATAGAATTTAAATAGTTTATTATTCAAAATAAGATTTTTTTTAGAGCCAACTTGCTGATATGTTTTATCTGTTGTACATCCAGATTTACAGAAGCATTAAACAAAAGTATTCCAGAAACAGTCGTTAAATGGTTTGACGACTACTGAGGTGAATTTAAAGTCTGGGTGAAATACAGAAAAAGTAGATGATGAGGAGAGTTTACTTTGAATCCCAGAACCTGTGTATTATTCAAGCCTAAGTATCTGAAGCAAGAAGAGAAGCTTAATGAGGTGACAGTGTAACCGTGGGCGCTGTCTACATGAAATGAACCCTAGGACAACTTTGTATTCTTCAATGCAAGTCAGGCAGGAGTTCAGATTTACAGAACTAAGTTAACTCGATGTATATTCTAAACTACAAATTGTATTTTTTTTATTCTGTTACTCCAATTGACATGTATAAAATTAAACCAGCATCAACTCTTGACTGAAGTAAGGCATCAGGGACTCTTTCTGACTGTAAACTTGTGAGAGTAAGAACAGTTCCTAGTTAAATCTTACCAGTGTGCTGTTTTTACCTCTTTGTCCTCAGGTCCTCCCTCGACAGACCTGTGGACTGTTCACGCATACTATTTTCTACAAGGAGTATCCAGGAGGACCTCAAGAACTGGATAAAAGTATCAAAGGAGGTGAACTTTTCCTCACAATCCTTCTAAATCCAGTACGTTCTACTCATACATTCTACAGTAGTGGCTGTGTTGTCAAATAAGTTGTATTTTTAAATGTAAATCATGAGGATTTTTTTTTCCAAGCAGGGTCTCACTAGGTATCCTAGCTAGATTAGAACTTGTTATGTAACTTAAGCTTGGGTTGAACTCACAGAGATGTCCCTGTCTCTGCCTCTAGGGACCTGGGTAGTATATGCTACCACATGCAGCTCATGACTATATTCTTTATGAGCAAAATATTTTACTGGCCCTGAATTGAAATCTATATTTCAAATCCTTTCTTTGATACAGTTTGATTTCTTGGGAAATTTTCACTGAGAATATAATGTTGGTTGTGAATTTGAAACATGTATATACATATATATTTGTGTTTTATTTTATTATGTTGCCCTATTTTTCTTGTATCCTTAATTCATGAAGTCTTTATCAAGAAAAGATGCTAACTTTTCTAATTCGTTTGTTCACAATTAGATAATTAAATTCTTTTTATTCTTCATTCATTTATTAACATGATAAATAGATAACATTCCATGATTTTCATGTTCTGCACCATCATTTCATCCTGGAATAAACCCCATATGAACATGGTGAAGAATCATTTTGATATATCGTTGAGGTTGTTTGGCTAGTGTGTCTCATATATCCCACCCTTGAGGGTATTTATACTCATATTTATAAAGGACATTAACAAATAATTCCTTTGCTTTTATTGTGTTGTTCTTTGTATTTACTACTGGGGTGATTCTGGTTTCATAACAGGTGTTTGGAAGTTTATTTCTTCATCAACTTTTTGGAAATTTTTGAGGAAAATGTTAACACAAAATAGTTGCTTGGTGTTCAGTGATGTCAGGAAATTCTGACTCCCTTTGTAGAGACTTTTTTTGAGATTGTACTATAATTACATCATTTCCCTCTTTCCTTCCCTTCCCCACAACCCCTGTATTCCCTTATTGCTATCTCTCAAATTCATGGCCTCTTTTTTCATTAATTATTATTGTATTCATGTATGTATATAACTGTATTTTTAAATATAACCTGCCCACTCTATATAATGTTATATGTATGGACATTTTCTAAGCTGACAATTTGGTATTGGACAAGCAGGAGATGTCTTCTAACCTGTGGAAGACGATTTCTGCCAGTCTCAGCATCCCTCAGTTGCCTGTAGTTCTTTGTGTAGGGTTGAAGCCTCTTGGTCTTTTCCTCATTCATTTTGGTGCGTTTATTGCTATCAACCTTGTTCAGCTCATGTTTAGGCAGTAGCTTCTGAAACTCCTAAAAGGCACTTCTCACAGCAAATTCTGATCATCTGGCTCTTAAGGGCATTCTGCCCCCTTTTGCACAATGTTCTCTGAGCATTAGGTGCTGCAGTGTTTGTTTACATCAGACCAGGACACAACTCTGTATTTTGATTAGTTGTGGCTTCTGTAGTCTTCTCTATCTGTTGAAAAAAAAAAGTTTCCTTATGAGGAGTGAAAACTACATTTATATGTAGAAATAAAGGGAAAATGATGAAATTGTTTTTAGGGATTGTACTGGTTTAATAAAGTAGTGGATGTAGGTTCTCCTCCAGTACCCATGACTTCACTAGCATTTAGTAGTTGGATAGGTTTCCACTATTTATTTTTTATATGTGCATGAGTGATTTTCCTGAATCTATGTTTGTGCAACAAGGGCATCTATGATGAATCTAGGAGTCAGAGAAGGGCATTGGAATCCAAGAACTGGAGTTACAGATGATTACAATCCAACTTTGGTACGGTAACCTGAACCTAGATCCTCTGAAAGAGCAACCAGTAATCTTAAACACAGTCTCTCTAGCCCCTGTTAAGAAACTTAATTACTGCCTTTTCCTCTTCATTGATTTGTTCAGAGTTTCTCTTTGTGATTCTTGTTAGACTTATACTTCCAGAAAATTCAACTTTGTACCTTTATTTGTTGATATGTGATATCTATGGTAACCTCAAAATCTTTTGAATTTTGTAGCAACAATTACATTGTTGCTTCTTTTGTCTCTGATTTCATTATCTAAAACTTACATTTTTTTCTTCTCTGTTAACTTTATAAATTTTTTAAAATCCCAAATTGGAGTTAATTGATTGATTATAGATTTATGTTGTTTTTATCATCTCTACTTTTTATTTCTGCTGTAGTTATTACTTTCTCCTTCTTTATGCTCACATGACTTAAATCTTCTTTCCTAGGTCTTTGAGGTATGAAGCCTCAAAGTTTATTTGACAACTTTCCTTTTTGTCTTCATGTTAACAGTCAACATTATCAATTCCCTTTTAGAACTTTTTACAATCCCTCTCAAGAGAAGTTTGTAAATTTTAGGTGTACTAAAGAGATAGTAGAGTTCAACCCCAAAACAGTATGATTATTCATAATTCTTGCCAAGAAGACACAACTTTATTAAGCATGTGCAGATGTATGTAATGTATTTAAATTATAATAATTGTTAATTGGCCTCTTAATGTTTTTCACATTCTTAAAATATGGTAAATAATACATTAATAAATAGTTCTATAGCCCAAATTTAACATTTTTAGTTTAATCAGCAGCACATGTTTAGTTCAAATAGTATTTCAGGTTAATAACTATATTATAGGTTAATATATCAGTAGACACAGTTAGAATCTCTAAATGTGTAAAGCTGAATTGAAAATATGTAAATAATGAGTCATTATGTTACACTCAGTTAACCTAAAATTTAATTCATTACTAACTTTATTTAACATCTGATACAAAACTTGGTTAATTTTTTTAAGTAGTGTCCTTTTAGCTATGAAAATGTATAATAAATATATGTGCAGAGGCACAGCAGTGTGAGACTGTATGACCATGAGCTGTCTGGATTATTTCAGCTCTGATTTTTCTCCCATAATGATTTCATTTCTGAGGTCTCAGAGAAGCATGTCCTCATTTACATCTCATTGCACATGGAACATAGGAGATAATGGGATTTATGCTATCACCACCTTGCTTAATGTAAGACGTTCTCATGCACATCACAAGAGAGGGGTATGCTCTAAATAAAACTAGAAAGGAGCGTTGGCTACGTCGAAATGGCTTTTTGATAGGTAATTTATATAAAATATTTTAAAGTCATAAGGAAATCAAATCTAAACAAACTTGTGTTGTTTGAAAATTATAAAATAACGTGTAAATTCAATAAGAATAGTAAACTATATTGGGACAGAAACGAGTTATCTTGATATTAAATCTCTTCCTGTTAAAGTGAATATTTACATATATGAAAACAGAGAAGACTGTTGGATTTGTATGTTGGGACTGTGACAAATATGAGAAAAGAGAAAAATGGAGGCTATGTATTCTTTAGCAAGACACTTGAGTTTTTTTTTCAATTACCACAGAATTATAAAAAATAACTATCAAAAATTGAGATTACATGTGAATGACAGTGAAAATTAAAATGGAAACATTTACCTTTCCTCAGTCCTCATTAAGAATATATTCTCAGTAGATGCCCTGATCCTTTATGCTATCCCCATTAAGAATGTATTCTCAGTAGAAGCCTTGGTCCCTTTGTCTTTGTTTTCATTCTCAGGTTTCACTCTTTACCCATATATGCTCTAACCCCCTTAAGAGGAATTCAGTCATCATCAGCACACTGCATGTTGCCTCTTCTATGTATCCTGCCAATGTTCGACGGCTTCTAGCCTTTATTGCTTGAATGCCTGATTACTAGGTTTCTACATCTCGCTTTCATATTGAATCTAATACAATTCATAAAGCATCACTCTGTGATGTAAAGGAGTTCTTTTAAAATAGAACATAATATTGAGTTTCATATTCCATAGATAGTAGCATTGAGCCAATAAAACTATCCTTAGCATTGTAATCCTCTCTTAAGATGGTCATCATGACATACAAATGTGATTTCAAGCAGAAAAGAGAAGGGAGCAAGGGGAGTTTCAGAAGTCTTCTTGTATATAATGACAAACTGGATTTGTTTTTAGCATTGAAATTGGTGGTGAACTCAAAATAGACTATTTGGATAATACAGCTAGATCAGCATGCAGAAAGAAAAAAAAAAGAAGTGGGTAGTGCAGATAGACCAGCCTATCCTGTTATGGTACTACGAAGTCTGGATTGGCCAAATGATCCACGGGGATGTATTAAATAACAGTGTTGCTCAAAATGTGCGCAGTGAACAGATGTAGCAATCAAAGTAGACACCATTCACTTTGGTAAAGAAACGTGCTACAGATATCATGACCCAACACAGCAAATAGTGGGCAACTTCAATACTTCACTCCGACCCACACAGAGGTCACCCAGAAAAAACTAAATAGAGAAGCTCTGAAGCTAAATGACATCATAAATCAAACAGATCTAACAGTCAGCTATAGACCATTTCATTCAAACAATAACGAATGGACTTTCTTCTTCGCAGCTTTATAGAACTTTCTCCAAAATAGACCAAACATTAGGATACAAAGCAAATCTAAGCAAATTTATGAATATTGAAATAGCATCCTGTGTATTATCTAACAACAAAAGGAATAAAGCTTCATATCTGCAAAATTAGAAATGACAAAAGTACACAAACTCGTGGAAACTGAAACAATGCACTGTTGAATATAAAAATAAAAAATACAACCTATTAAAACCAATGACATTTTCTCTCATCAGTTTACAACACTCTGGGTTCACAAACTGAAACTCATGCTCATAACTTAATGTTGCACCCAATGTCCTAGGAAGAAGAAAAACAAACAACAAATTAATACACAGGTAGAGACAATAAAAATTAGGGTTGAAATCTTTGTGTAGAGTGGCCTTGTGGTCCACCTCTCCGATCCCCAACCACGTTAGCATATCTGTTATTATTGTCCTTGTTCAGCTCATGGTCATGCAGTCATGTCAGAAGGACCATGGGTATAACTTTTGACATTACTAATTGTCTCATTACCAACTGAGATACATTACACACTATCTCAGCTACCTCCTTGACCCTTTACCTGTCTTT